TGCTGTTTGTCATGTTGAATACAAAGTTCAGTTTTAGAAACGTGGACATTTATTATCTCCATTTTTTGGAAGACTTTAGAGGAGACATATGAGGCTTTTTTTTTTTTTCTATTTAAAACAGATGTCCTAATTAGGTTTGCAAATGGTGGGAGAGTTGTGAAACACACGCATTAACGGTGAGTTAAATTAGCCTGTTTGGAGCAAATCTGCTCACAGCTGGGTCATAGGTGAATACGGCGACCGTTACAATGACAACCAGGGTCTCGGGGGGGTTGCAACAAGATAAATGGCTTCAAGTTGTAGAAACGCTGCCCTTTTGCCACCTCCTCTTGCAACCAACGATATAACAAAACGGTTGCCCCCGGTGGTCCAAATGAAAAAAAAAAAAAAAAATCACAGAATTATTTGATTGATGCGACCTAAATTACTTCTATTTTAAAACAAGACAATGGCCACATTTAATTTTTTTTCTTCCCTTGTACGATATAAATTGCATTAGGATAAAAGGAGGTTATTTATAGCCATTGTGCTTTCCATGTCGCTTTAATCAATATAAAGCGCAATTAGACCGTTTTTATTCCGTGTACAAGTCCACAGATTAACGGGATGACAGCAAATGTCCACCCGGTTATTCATCACATTTTTTTCTTTCTTTTAATCACCTGTCACTGCGTTTGCTGTCATTTAGGCAAATATGCCATTTAAGATATATTTGTCGAAACATACACTTTTTTTTTTTTCCGACGAATTGCTAGAAGCCCAACAGACACTCACCTTCAGTAGGAGAGGGCGCCCATGAAATGTCGGGTGATTCATCACAGACAGGAAGTCGGCCATTTTGCTTGGAATTTGCACTTTCGGTTGCTTCCAGCAGGCCCTTGCCAGCTTTCTCAGGTAAGCGGGGCCGAGGTGAATTTGTTGTCATTATGATTCCAGCCGTTGTGTGCACGCCTGCAGGCGTAAACAAAAATGTCTCGCTGCGGCGAAATGAGAGTTGTCAGCAGGAACAACTTTTGCCCGAGATGTGCTGGAGAAAAACTTTGCGCCACGACAGCACACGTCCAGTACTTTTTGTGTGGCCGTAGCGCCGACGGCACCACGGGTAAACAAACATTTCGAAGTCATTTGACCAAGGAAGAGTGATTCTTGAGTGATTATTTCAGGTGAATTGTTTTGAAGGGGATGATGGAAGACCAGCCGTACAGTTCAACAGACAAGTAGATTCAAAAGATGACATGGAAATTCAGATGTGGGTAGCTCTTTTGATACTAAAATGGATAGCATGCTCAACCCCTCATGTCAGCTAGCATGCTAGCCATTATGTTTTGCGAATTAACACAACCAAAGTCAAATATTTTATACATACATGTGGGATGGAGTGGCTATTAAGCATTCTCGCAATGTTCTCTGAACACCAGTTTTTGGCATTCTGACATTTGTTACTGCTCACCGAATCCAGTGTGAGCCGGTTTGGAAGTGGGCGGGGGTAGTCACAGTTAGCTGGCTGCTCATTGGCTAGAAAAGAATGTCAGTCCATTTTGAAAGAAACAGAAATAATGTTTGAGTTTAAACTGTTCACTTTACTCAGCAGTCTTGCAGTTGTTTGTTCTGTAGAACTGTTTTTGACACTTGATTTATCTTCCTCACCCACATGAGGTGCTGAATTATTCTGCCTTTTTTCAAGTTAATCAAGGGAAACCTTGCCCCGTTTGGGGAATTCGGCAACTTTCTCCCACCTGGATACAGCTGGTTAGTTAAGTTAAAAAAAACAAAACAAAACAAAAAAAATAAATAAACCAAAAAAAAACAAAAGCACTTGACACTTTAAGAGATGTTCCAGGGCAGCTAACACGGGCTAACCTGGTGACAACCCAGCCCCAACATCATTATTTTCTATTTGAATGCAGTATTTTTTAAGTTTACTTTGTTTCTGAGGCAAGTTAAATGTGTTACTATTTTGTTCATTTCCTACAACAAGCGAATAAACAAGAGACAAAAACCTGTACACCACTCACCAGAAGTAGGCGTGGCTAGCTAGCTAGCTACATACCGTCGATAGAAACCTTCTTCAAAACTGGGAGAAATATATATTTATCAACACGGTTTCATCTGTAATAGAACAGTTCCTGATCAAATTTTAAATATGATTTGTAAAACCTTTAGTTTTAAATGTATTAAATTATTTGCTTCACTTCTCCAGCGTGTTTTAAAAGACACTTAATTTTATGTTAATTTGGCCAAATAATTATCCATACACACACACAAAAAAAGAACCGATAAAGGAAAATGTCTGCTCATTTTAGTGCATCATTGTATGGCAACCTAAAAGAAACCCCAACAAAAATAAAGGAACCTCAATCGTGCCAATATTGAGCTGTCGGTGTGCACAATTTTCAGTGTGACACAGAACACAAGACACAAGAAGATAAACACAAAATATTCCCTTTATTTATTTATTTTTTTTTCTCGTTCTACCTTCATAAGACTACACAGGATGTAGCTCCAAGCGGTATCTACAGTTTGCATGTTTTTCATTTACAGCGCGCTGCTTGACTCATCTTTGTATTTACACGGTCCGAGAAAGTAGGAAGAAAGAACACAGTGTTGCAAACTCAAACAAAATGAGTCTGGAAATTCAACGAAGCGAACAGGACAAAAAAAAAAACCAAACAAACAAACAAAAAAAAACAAACTGTTCTTAGTGCACCCATCATTGAACATACAAATCAAAAAGACACAAAAACGACTCAACGCTTTTGATGGACAGATCAAGAGGCGTGCAGTCAAGTGACGTTGTGACATTTCAATTGTCCTTGTTGTCACGTGGGATCAAGACGCCGCCCAACTGAATGTAAACAGGACCAGGAACACCCGCTGGCCCCGTGCATTGGGTTCCGTTAAGGCAAAGTGCACCGCCTGGACAAAAGTGGACACCCTGACCTGCGCTTGAGATTTTCGGGCCAAACCAAATTCACGATGGGCCTCGCTTGACCCCGCTCCGCTACATCCGAGTTGATTCAGAGGCGGCGACGCATTACTTCTGTCCACGTAGCATCTCTTTCGTCCTGTCAGCAATGCAAAAGCAGCACATACGGGAATACTGTCGCCGTTACCGCGTGAAAATACACTTGGCCCACCTTTCATCATTTATTGTTGAAGTACAACAATGACACACATGGGTTCACATTTGTCTGAAAAGTTCACATCTGTTGTGGGCTAATTTATTATCACGACTGATCAACTGAAAAACCAGGAAGTGACCCTGTGTGTTGGTTGTTTGTAACCAGTGAAAATGAAAGAGGAGCACTTTTTCTTTGCATTTAAAAAAAAAAAGTAAAACACACAATTTTTAAAAAAAACTGCTTGCAAATCCCTTAAATTAGCTCTTTTTTTTTCTTTTTTTTTTCTTTTTTAAGCACTTTTGACCATTCAGCAATCCACAAGGAAAACACTGAAAAGCCTCCTCGCCCGGCACCACGTCTCTCGTTCCCGATGTGCGACAAGTTTCAAGTAAAAAAATCTTTTTTTTTTACTTGAAACGAAAGAAAAGAGGTGATTAAAAGACAGGGAATCTCCTTGGCTGAAGAAGAAGGCAGAAAAGGGCGAGCTGAGACAAAACAATCTGAGCCGACGAACGACTCCCAACGGCTCGCCGGTAGGAGGAGGCAAAGTCAGAAAAATGTGGTTTAGATCCTCCACCAGCCGTCCTCGGAGGGCAAAGACTGTTTAAGAATCTTGGGGGAAAAGGAGGAGGGTACTCGAACGATGCAATGCGCCTATCGTTCATTCGTTCCGTTGTCCATCGGCAATAAAAAAAAAATAAAATAAAATAAAATAAAAAAAGCTAATTTGTTTCGCCAAAATTTCAATTCCAGCCTAAAACGCAAAAAAAAATGCAAGATGTAAAAACGAGGTGCGGGACGTAATTAGATTTTCATATTTAATGGCTCAGGTTCATGTGAGCTCGATGTTTGGTAACGAGCATTAGCAAAAATTGTTAGCTTGCTAACCATCAGCCCTGTCACGTTTTTGAAACGTGACTGTATCCATTTGCCGTATCTGACACTGAACAGAATCTTGAACCAATTTTTGTCGATCTGACTACAAATTGCTTTCACAACATCGTTACTGTCATTTTTTGCTCAACCATTTGCCGACTAACAAGCGAACGCAACCATGCTCCAGGAAATTGTATTCATTCTTTCCCGAGAGTCTCTTCAATTCATTTGGTGGCGTTTCTCTGCTATGTACAAACATAAACGGTGTCAGATTTTTTTAAAATTTTTTTATTTTAGTACAATCAGTTTTCAGCCTGCGTGCGCTGCCATGGCAATCTACTCTGGCCAAGGTCTTCAGTATCGGTAGCGCTGCTTGGTGTAAATTCAACTCGGATTTCGAGCCGGCCCACGGTAACGTCGGCATTTTGTTTTCTGTGACATCCAACTTCGGCCGGCAAAACCGCTCTGCAGTGATCTGCATTCGTGAATACATTTAATAATTGGCATCTGAGGTGAGTATGATGGATTGTATTTCAGGTTTTGGTCATAAATATCGATTCTGAACTGCTGCAGTTGACGTGTACGCTGCAGTCGTCGGGCCTTTTTGTCGGGAAGTGACGTTTTCGATAACCGGTGAAGGTCCCAAATGCACCGAACGCCGGGGTGTAAAATGAACCAGTTTAATATTAAAATGACAGGTGTCAAAATGAATGGATGAAACGACAACTAATCGATGATCAAATCAATCGACAACCATTTGATGAACCGATTCATCGTTTAGAGCCGTTGTTTAACTTCAGTTTGTGCAAATTGCTCTGATGTGAGCCAATCAAGAGTAATTTTTGTGCGATTTTGCTGTCTCTCCATGTATCGGCCTGAACTTTTGTTTTTCATCAATCAACTGCTTTCACTTTGGAAAACAACGACCGGTCACTGAATCAGTTTCAAAAAGGCTGGCGTGATGTTGTGTGATTGTTATTTTGTTGCTTTTTTTTTTTTTTTTTTTATCACGAATGTTTTGTAATGTACAAAATAAAAATGTAGCGAATTTTTCCATTTATCGACGGAACAAACGATTGAAATATATTTGCGTTTTGTGGATGGATTTTCAATTTCATAGTTTCCATCTGAGACGAAAATATTAAAAATCTGTCTTTCTTTTTTTGGCTGTTGGAAAAAAAACAACAACCCGAATCACAACTATCAGTCGCTTTTCCAGTTTTTGATTTCTGATTGCCGATTGAAACTGTCAGGGACGATCACACGTATTCAACGCACCCCATTGTTTTTGTCTTATTGTTTTTTTTTTGTTTTTTTTTTTTTCTTTTGTTCAGATTTTCTATTCGAAACCAAGCTGCACACACAAACAAACAAACGGGCGGCGTACCGAATTGTCTTTGGCAAGAGGTCCACCGTCATCCGCGAGAGTCCGTCGGGCCACGCAAGCGCGTTCATGTCACCTGCGGCCCATTTCGCTCTGTCTCATGAAGTGGACGTTGTTGACGCTGTCGGCCAGCTCGGGGTACTGCTCGGCGGACACCACGTAATAGCCGTCGTAGCCCTGCACCTTCCCCGAGCCCAGCAGCTGCTGCTTCTCGCCCTCGGTCCAGGTGCGCGAGCCCTCCTCGCCGTCGCGGAGTCTCTGGCGCTCGCGCGCCCACGCCTGCGCCACGGCGCGCTGGCGCGCCGCCTCCAGCACGCGCGCCTTCTCCTCGTCCACGCTGCTGCCGTAGCGCGTGTTGAGGCTGAGCGCGCCGTACTGCAGCTGGATGTCGGTGATGCGGCGGGTGCGGCCGTTGAGCACGGCGTTCACCTGGGACACCGTCACGTTGACGCCGTTCTCCAGCGTGCGCCGGCCCACCGCCATGCCGATGAGGCCCAGGTCGCCCTCCACCGAGCCCAGCTTGACAAAGTGGTGCGTGTCCATGCCGGCCACGGTGTAGCGCAGCGCTTCCAGGTAGACGGCGTCGTTCAGCACGGCCGCCATGCGACGCCCGTCCTCGTTGGCCAGGCTGATGATGTCCGTGCTGATGCGGCCGTCCCGGATGGCGAACTTGACGCCCTTGCCGAAGATGGAGCCCGCCGAGGCGAACGCCGTCTTGGCCTCGGCCTGGGGGCAGCCGGCGCTCTTGGCGTCGTAGATCTGGCCGAAGCGCTCCAGCTTCACGAAGGCCTTCAGCTGCCTCTGGACTTCGCACTGGACACCAAGCAGCGACTGGAAAGCAAAAGTACACGTCAGCAAACGGCGAAAGGGGGGACGACTGTAGTCCGACGTACCAAAAACTCTGCGCTAAATTTTTGCTTAGTGTTTCTTTTCTGTCAACTACTTAGCTTGGAGGGCGGGGGTCAGGGTGGTCCAGGCAATATGCGGTAACATGCCTGATCTACCCCGTCGCTCCATATTTGCATCCTGCCCCCGATGAGTGAGAGCGGGTCAGCCGTCCCACGAGCAGACGGGGCAGAAGGGGGGATATGCCCTCCTCCGCCCCATGGCGTACCCCCCGGAGCGGACTGTCATCCGCACAGTGTGGGTGGGGGGGGGGGTACAAATCCAGCCCCGGGCCTGACCCAAAATGCGAGCCTTGCACGGCACAGGACCTCATCTCTCCCGGGCCCTCAACAGCCATTTTTCATGCTTGGCCAGCGAAGCGCAAGTAAACGAAACCAGATCCGAGTTTTCCCCATCAAATGAAAGCTCCCGAATTAGTCGCATTGCTGCAGTTTTCACTGAAAATAATCCTGACAGAGATTTATTCGTCCTTCCCTTCGTAATTGGCGCGCGGATATGCGTCCGATGACCTCAAAGTGAGAGCTTCCATTTGAGGAAACACAGAAAGATGCCCGTTAAGTGGCAAGATTTCAAGCTCGGCTAAAATAGCGATTGACATACGGTACATATAAGAGACCCCGCACAAGGATGGAGTTATAATTGGAAAACCATCAAATTAGGGAAGCGAGACGTGATGATTAGCCGTCCCCATCTTGACAATCGATTGTGTTGAGCGAGTCGTCGCGGAGGACGCAAGAATCCAGGATGGTTTTCTTTCCTGGATTTTGAAAGTGGTGATTAAAAGATGACTTGTGAGGTGCTGGGAAACACTGACAAAGCCTTTCAATTGGGGGGGAGATGACGGGGGTGTGTGTGTGTGTGGGGGGGGGGGGGCGTTTTTCTGTCTAATCTACGACAATGACTTTCCCCATCATGTCTCCCTTGGATATATTTGAAATGCAAATGTCGTTGGATTGAATGAGCCATTTCCTCAGTTGCCTTTGCCGCTTTGCAGATGGGCACCTTGGCTGAGGTTCACGCAACGAGCGAGAGCAGAAAACCGTCCCCTGTAATCTTTGCTGGATGTGCACAAAAGTGGAATTCCCTTCTCGCGCATCGGCGTTTGGAGATAAGTTTCATTTGTTGATTGAGATATAAAAGCTTGCGCAACGCCGATTTGACCATGCATTGTAATTTAGAGCGAGGACGTTTCAGAAAAACCTAAATATTCATTGTACATTGTCTGTTGAATGGATTATCTTCATTTTTTTTTTGTCCCTCTGCCAAAAAAAAAAAAATCCCACTCGGTCGGACCCGATCGTTTTGGTCATTTGTTAATGCTTCCAGTTGCTTCTATTTTCAAGTGGCCAGTATACGTTCATTACGTTGTGCCCGAATGCAATCCGACGATTCATCAATTGTGTCCAAATAGCGCTTTCATTTCTGATCCTCTCTCATGTTGGTTTTTTTCAAAGGCCTCGGCTGACTGCGGCTGGGCCGTCGGCTCAGCGTTCACTAATGGATGACACCGAGTGGAGGTGGCAGCCAGAGTGTCTGCCGACACCAATCTGACGGGCGGCGGTCGCTTGTCTCGCTGTAACACAAGCCCGGGCGACAATAGTGGCCTGCTCAATAATTCAGACGACCGGGGGATGGGAGGGGAGGGGGGGGGGGGTTAACTTTAAAGGCCTCGCTAAAGCGCGGGAATCGGAGCGTGTCTGCTAATTCGCAGACCTTGGCTGAGGGTGTAAGACTTGAGATGAAATCAATAGCCGTTGGTGGAGGGAAGGGAGAGTGAATTTCCCTAATGGCAGGACAATTACAAGGGCTGTTTAGCCTGACCCCCCCCTTTGCCCCCCCCCCATGCCCAAGATGAGGACAAGAGGCCAGGACCCGGCTCACTGGGTTGTTTTTGCAGGGGCCTGATAGCACGTCTCGGTCGCTAATGATGTCACGACTGGCGCTGGACTCACCTTGGTGCTGTCCCACTCCTGCGTCTTGATCTGCGTGCGGAGCAATTCGTAGGACGGCTCCACCGTCTCCGTGTTTGGCTTGCGATAGCCCGGGATGACGTTGTAGAGCTGGAAGCCGAAGGTCACCAGCCAGCTGTTCACATCTGCGGTGAAGGCGACAGACAACACAATAAGACTCCAAAAAAAAAAATTGCGCTTTTACTTGGGATGTGTGATCCCACTTTTCAGACCCATACCGAGTATTGAGTACTCACTGATTCGGATACCAAGTATCGCTACGCCTAGTTGTTTGGCGATATCCTGATATCCGTTCCCATTCCTTCCTTGCTCGGGTGCATCTGGGCTGGGCTGTTCTCTGCCCGATACTCCCACGACCCCACTTGCACATGTGCGAGTATTCAAGTCGCTCGATGCCGTATATTCATGTCTGCCTGTTCGCTAAGTTTTTTTTTTTTTTTTTTTAAATCCAAACTCATACTGTGCCCCCCTGCAGGAGCTTAGTCTGGGGCTGTTTTTTTCCCTTCCTCTTCCTCATGTCTGGGTTTCTTTTCATCTAAGAAAACAGGGCGCTGTAAAAGGCCACCCGGCAGGCTCCCGTTCTGTACCCCCGTTGTTTTTTTTTTTTTTTTTTCCCCCTTTCTCTTGAACGGGTTGCGTCTGTTCCATCTCGTTGCACCGTACGATCCAGTAAATATCTCCTTATTCAGATTCTTGTCCGTGGCAAAAGAACAGCCTATTTTGCCCAATGATCTATTTACAAAATGCCAAAAACTGACCTGTGATATAAACATGAAATGGAAAACTCGGATAATGTCGTCTATAAATCGTGCAATATGGATACAACAAAGAGCGTGCAGATGTTCCTTTTTTACGGCTTTGGGTCACGGTGTAATCCATCCCCACATTGACACCTGACCCAAAAAGGTTTGGACCCCTTAGCTATTATTCACGGGTGGGTACGGGGATTTATTGTGTCTTCTTCTGCTTTCAAGTGAAATAGCATTTAATTGTGCATGGACAGAAAAACACAGGTACATTATCTGTTGGAAATAAATCATCGTTTTCAGACAAATGAAATGAAATTTGATCATTTCCCACAGCGCACCTGATGCTCTCTCATGTCAAAGTGCTGTCTGACGCACTGATGTGATTCTTAACCCTTGGGGTATTTTTGACGATGTACGTCGCAGACACCTGGGAACCGTTTTGCAAATAAAATGCAAAACACGTTTTCTTTTCATCTGCTTCGTACAATTGGTCTCACTGTGGCAGTGCGTTTGTTTGCAAAAGCAGACAAGATGCAATAAATCCTCCAGACGTCTACACTGACTCACGTCCCTTCCCACAGGTGCCACTCGGCCGTGTGCGCCGCGGAGGGGGGGGTCGGGTTGGGGGCGGACGTTCGCCGACGGCAAACGACGCCCGAGATGGATAATTATAGCCCATAATATGGTGTCATTTATGAGCAGCTGAGACTGAGGGAATATTCTGTCTTCTAATGAGATGCGGAAGGCATCGGAGGTTGGCACCATAATGTGACGCTTCAAATAGCAGCCGGCCCACCCGCCGCTTGGTTCAAGGTGCCACTGGAATCTTCCCATCATGTTCATGGAGAACATCAAAGGAGTTTGAAAGAATGGCGTTTTGGCACAACAATTGGCACTATCGCGTTTCATGCTAACCAAGTACTAATACTTTATTACTGTAGTTGAATATTTATTTTCGGACAACTTACTACTTTTACTTCCTACATTTGAAAACGGATAATTTCTGCTTGTTCTACTTGAGGTGGAAAGTCGCCGCTTGACATTTGGATTTATGGGTTGAAGCGGGGAAAATAAACGGGGAGCGCGGCGACGTGGGCGCATTTGCTACGATGACGTGAGATATTCCGCGAAGAGAAGTGCGAACATAATGTCAGCTCCCCCAAAACTGTGGTGTGAATGTGTTGTGTCTTGTTGCAAGTGAAATTTCATCACCTTCTGGCCTTAAAAAAAATACATTCAGCTACTCTGGGGGAAAAATCAAAAACAAAAACGCATTAGGAGTTTTTAGCTAACGATTTAGCTAACAATTGTTAGCTAATTTAGTATGTTTTGTGATGCTGTTTTGTATTGCTCTTGTATTACCTATGGACTTATGCATGTCAAGAATATCCTGAATTAAAAAAAAAAACATAAAAAATAAGTTATAACCTGACAGGAGTAAATGAGTGAAATCTTGCTAGCAGGTTTGGCAAATTCCCCTTTTAAGCAGAGTGCGAGTACTTTTACCACGTTTGACAGCACCTAACAAATGACTTGCTTTTTTTTTTTTTCCCTTCTGGGTTTTTTTTTTTTTTTTTTAATAAGAATTTGTTTAAAACGGAGCTTGGTGATTGAATGAAATGGATGGAAATGCCAGTGCCAACAGTCACAGCCGAGGCGCTCCCTCCACAGCTGTATATCAACACGTCTGCTTAGCATCCAAATGTCATTCAGTCCTAAATGGTAAAGAAGCGAGGCAGAAAAAAAAAACCCACGTTTATTTCCCCTGGTATTGTCTATAGCACGGATTCCTTGTTATTCATGATCGGCAACACACACGTCGGTGTGTAAACACAACGCGCGCACAAACGATTTGGGAGGGAGACGCGGCTGAGGCAATTTGCGAGGATCCGACTGGAGTGTCGTGTTGTTTTGCTCCGAGCGAGAAAAACGCTGCGACGAGTGAACTTGGCGACTGTTTCAAGAAATCCATTCTGCTGCCACTTCTTCTCCGGGCGGCTTTTCTGAGCGTTTTGCCTCCTCCCCTGGCACACAGAAATGAGCTATGAAGTGATCTCTGAATTGTTTCCTTTGAGTACATAAAACCGCAGGTTTGTCTGTTAATCCACTGCAGAGTCGAAGGTCTGTTCTGAATTTCACCATAAAAATACTGTTGACATGAAAAAGGTTGTGCGCTAGCCCGTCAAGAAAATTTTTGTGTTTGGCTACACTCTCGCCGTGTTATTTTGCCTCCCGACACCCCATACTTAACCTGTTCCGTCCCAGGGACGGAATGCCCATCCCTGCAAATAATCTTTGGCGCATCTCAATAGCATAACAAGCTGAGACAAAGATGGAGCTTCATGCAGGCGTACGCGTTGCAAGCAGGGATATTTGAAAGCCCATTGTAGCATATAATAGTTCCAAAGTGACATTTGCAGCTCCAATTTGATGCCGTTTAACGTGCTCATTAGCATCCCGGCTTGCCAATTGTCATCAGCACGGCACATTTCCTCGGGCAAACAAGCCGCGACGCAAGGAAAGAAGTGTAAATAAGAGGCTGATCAACCGGGAACATTCTGCGTGGCCTTTTTGTCTCTCGGTGACCTGAATGCTTGATCTCTGACTTGTGATTCGGTGCGCCCAAATTAAGTCCTCTGGTGACATCAAGACAACGGCTGAGAACAACATTTCGCCCAAACGCAGCAGCACTTGGCAGTCGGTGTGATTTCCAGAGCAGAGATTTGTATGCGAATGCAAATTGCGTGGCGTTCTGAGGCTCGCTGTCACCCTGAAGTGAGTGTCACTCGGTGCACTGCGCGCAGCAACACTCTCACAAGGAGGGGTGCGGTGGGGGGGGGGGGGACGAGATGTGTGGCTCTCTCTTTCCCCCTTGACATGTGTAATTTTAGCACCATAAAAAACTTGTATGCATTATTGATCGCCCTGGTGGGACTCACCTAACATCTGCCGGCATTGCTATTTCTATTTAGCTACACACACCCACCCCGCGGACAACGGCAGTGACTGTAGGTTGAGGTTGCTCGCGCCCTATGTTGAGATTTATATGCTCGTAGAAATGTTTCATATGAAAAAAAAAACATGTTCTTGGAGGATTGAAATGAGGTTTGCTTCCAGTCATCCCCTCAGGACAGATTACAATTCGTAAAGTATCGATCAGTGATTTAAAAAAAAACAAAAAATTTGCCTCAGTATCTGTGACGCAAAAGCTTTATGGCTAATACCAAAATATCAGTATCTGTGACGGTGACTGCATGCGTTGTGTCGGTTTTGTTCCATTTGTTCCAGACAGCGATTGAAAAAGTGGCCTTAAGAAGGCACGCTGTTGTGTTGGTTTTGTTCCATTTGTTCCAGACAGCGATTGAAAATTCTCCGGCGGCTGTGTCTATACCACGAGGCCGCGTGACTTACCCGTCATGTAGCACTTGATCTCCTCATTGTTGCTGAGCGGGTTGTTGTTTTTGAACATATACAGGTTGAACGGCACAATGTGGCCGCTGTTTAGACGTTTCCACACGTCGTGGTCGGGCGTGGTCCAGCGGCCGGCGAGGACATCGTAGTCCCTGCGGCCCATGTGCACCAGCCTGCTGAGGGGCTCGTACAGGCCGCCCTGGTAGCCGATGATGACCTGGAAGCCGGGGTTGGTGTCCAGGTAGATCTCGCCGAACGCCGTGTGGAGCACCTGCTTGATCATGTGACCCGAGCCGCTGAACACGGCCAGAGGCGTGCCGATGTTGTCGCAGGCCACGTAGAACTCGTCGCCGCTGCTCAGCTCCATGGCAAACAGGTGGCCCTGAAGGTCGTAGTACAGCGACGTGATCTCGGAGCTGGTGTGGTTGTACATGTGGGTGACCCGGGTGGGGCTGGACAGGTCCGCGTAGAAGAACTGCAGGTGGTGGCCCACGCTGCTCCGGCTGGACACCCTCCGGCCCAAGCCGTCGTAGCGGTAGCGGATGTTCCAGCCGCTGGCTTTGTTGTACACCTTCGCCAGAAGTCCGGCCGAGTTGTAGTCAAAGTAGTCGTTGCCCCGCTGGCGCAGGAAACCGTCCTCGTCCATCCTGTACTGCGCGTCCCCCAAGCGGGTTATGCGGTCCCGGATATCGTAGCGTAAGGGCGTCAGGCGAGCGCTGTTGCCCGGGCTGAGGAGGTGCAGGTTGCCGTTGAGGTCGTAGCTGTAGCGCCACAGGGGCTTGTCGTTGATGGACACCACCTGGAGTTGGCCGTCCGAGTCGTACTCGTAGGTGTAGCGCGTGGTGTTGGCGTAGGGGCCCACCTTCAGCTCCTTGGCCACCACGCGGCCCATGTTGTCGTACTGCACCATCATCCAGTACATGAGCGAGCGGAAGATCTCGTACTGCACCTCCTTCACGCGACCGTAGGCGTCAAAGTGTTTGGTGTGCGTCATGACCGCCGTGGTGATGATTTGATTGATGTCGTAGTAGATGACGCCGAACTTCCCGAACTGCTCGGCCTTGCCGGAGACGTCGTCGTAGCGGTACAGGTCGATGGGCAGCGGCGTTTCGTTGATGACCGCCTGCATGCTGGTGACGCGGAAGCTGTTGTCGTAGACGTAGTCGAATCTGGCGTTGACCATGCCTTCCTCGCTGAATCGGAAAATCTGCCGGTCGATCAGCGGCCCGATCTGGCGGTAGCGGATGGTGCAGGTGAAGCCTTCGCTTTGCAGGTTGACCGTCTTGAGCATGCCGGCCACCTCGTCGTAGGAGAAGCCGATGCGAGTGGTGTCGTAGAGGATCTCCAGAAGCTTGGACAGCTTGCCGTACTTGTAGATGACGCGTCGGCCGGTGCCCAGGTAGGTGGTCTGCAGCAGCCGGCCCTCCTCGCTGTAGTCCTGCAGCACCGAGGAGTTGCCCTCGGGAGGCCGGTACGTGTTTCTGTAGTAGCCCACCGAGAGCGCTGTCTCCAGGGTCTGACGGGCCACGTTGGGCATGGTGACGGAGGACAGTCGGTCGTTCTTGTCAAATTCAAAGATGTACTGTCTCTGGCTGTAGAGCAGCAGCACCATGGACTGCAAGAGAATGCATTTCCGTTCAGATCATGACAGGATGTACCCGCTACAGTTCCAGGTTGCCACTTTTCAAAAAAAGTAGAGTGGAAACCTCAGTTCAGGAACTTCATTCACTCGCGTTAACCAAGAAATGGAAATAGAATTAGCCCGTTCAATCCTCGGAACCAATTTATTGACCTTGTTTTTGTGGGTTTAATTCAAAATAAGTGTCCCCGTTTTTGCTACAAAATCACCGCTCGACTTCATCGCCTTTCCGCACGTTATCGTCTCACTAACGCTATTATCAGCCAACTCTTTTTCATTCTAACCACAGTCACTCCTTCGGCCACATCAACTGCTTCTTTGTTCTGAAGAACCATACGGGTCGTCGATTTTGCCAAACCAAACTGTGCGTGATTTCCATATAACAGCAATTCAATTCAGCATTCTGATGGCGCCGTCACTTGCAGTTTGTAGTTTTATTTGGAACCAAAATGAGGGCTAATTGGAGAAAAAAAAAAAAGGCGCTGCTTCGTCAAGGGTCTCGTTTGAGAATCGATGTTCCGCAATCTTAAAGGTAGTGAAACGTTTCTTTGGCACTTGGTAATTATCCATTTCCCTCCCAACTCGTGTCTTGCTATTCAAATGTGTTCCGAGATTGTCACAGCAAGATCCCGGCATTTAAACACTTTCGACGGCAGCCGGAAAAAGTGACGAGCATCGAGGTGACTGGCTCCCATTAACACGTCGACTTGTCTCGGCGGCAAAGAACCGCCGCTTCTCACCTTTTCTTCCTGGCAACCGGGAATAAAAAGTGACATTACCCCTTGCCGCTCATCCCAGCTATTCTGGGGTGAACTTTTTCTCTCAGACGACGGGAACAAAAGTTTAACGTCACCGCGCGCCGACAGGTTTTAATTAGAAGTTCTGCTGATATTTGTGCGTGAACTTGATAATGCAGCGCATTGACTGCCGGGAAGGAATTCAAGAATGAGGCTACAGTGATCGATATCGCGCTTCATTTATCGCGGCTTCAGTACATTGCGTTTTTTTTTTTCTCCCAAAGTACTGTATTCAGATAAAAATGCCGAATGACTCTGAGGTTTTGTACATGACTGTATGCATGACTGGTTCCCAGGGCGACATTGACCAATAACAGCATGAGAGGATTGATCCCGGAAGCTGATTGGACGCGCATCTTTGCAGCCCCGCCCAGCACTTTCACTTTTGATTCTCTGATCAGTGTCTCATCAGCTATTGACTCTGTGATAAGTGTCTCGTCACACTGTTGTGTTTGCAACGAGAGAGAGAGAGAGAGAGAGAGAGAGAGAGAGAGAGAGAGAGAGAGAGAGAGACGTCTCCTTTATCAATCCTTACCTTCTCCAGATACGTGTAGCTCCACGATTTACCATCCGCAAATATCTTGGAGTTGATTCTGCCTTTGTGGTCGTATTCCATGCGGACCGACATGGTGCCTCTCTGGATGCCCGCCACGTGACCCCCGGCCGAATAGGTCACGTTGACCCCGTTGAGGCGGCTGCTGGGGGCCCAGAGCGTGGGCCGCCCGGCGTGGTCGTAGTGGATCCGCAGCGTGAACTTCCTGTGGTCGTCGTAGACTTTTTCCGTCCTGGTGATTCGATCAAAATCCAGGGACAACAAGTTCCTGTTGTGAACCTGTGGAGGGAGAAAGAGCGGCGGTTGGATGGGATGGGCTGAGTTGGGTCCGCCTCAACCAGGACGCGAGTGATTTTCAGATGGGCTGCCGAAGCCACTGCAGTGGTTCTATCTTATTTTAATTCGCTCACTTTTTTGTTTGTGGGTAACGTGCAAAATGTGACTCGGAACATTCCAAGTCATGCGGAGGCCACAACGATCATCAAATCCATTCCGACTGCATGCGGGTAAACAAGTGCCAGGTGCTGATTACTCTCATTGTGGCTCTCTGGTAAACTGGCACCGAGGTGGTTTGGGGGCTTTTTGTCGGATTTGAAAAGACAGAATGTAATCCTTCAGGTCATGTTGGGGTTGGCAGGGAGTCAAAAGGCTTTGTCCAAGGGGGAGATGACAGCCAAAAGGAGCAAGTGAGATGCGGATCATCAGTCGTGTGTCTGAGGGCATTTTTTTTTTTTGGGAGCCTGGCTACAATGTCCCGTCTTACAACATTCGATTCTATAGACAACAAGATGAGACTGGCTGGCTAATAGAAGAGAAAACCATGCGCAGGGCTCCCACTAACACAATTTTTCATAGTCGATTAATCGACATTGACTCGACTTTTACATCACATTATGGTTGAAAACAAAAACAAAAAAATCTTTCGTCATTCAACCGCTACCGGAGGGATGAGCAACCGAAATGATGCAGGGCAGCCAAGTGCTGCTGCATGCGGACGGTGCTTTTGTGCAGAACCTGAAATGTGGAAGCTCGAGCCTGAAAATTGCCTGAGAGGGTCAAAGCAAATCTCCGCAGCAGCCATACCTTCAAACACATGCGCCGTCTCTCCGAGGAGGAGGCGGCGGCGGAGGCGTTTTGCCTTTCATGAAACACCGCTTCGATTCAAATGCAAGGCGCAGTTTGGCTTCAGGTGCGCACTTCAAAAACATCTCAATGAGGATTTCGGCTTCTTTCAAGGCACGCACCGAAGATCAGGGGGGCGACGGTTAAAGCATTTTGTGCGGGATGGGCTTGTATTGGGGGAGGGGGGGGTGCTTGTCTTTGCAATCTTCCACTGATAAAAGAAGGGACAATTACACCACAGGCAATAACTGTCACCGATACCTAATTGAGAGGCTTACATGATGCTGAGATAGCCAACAAATTTGCAAGGTCGGCCAATTTATTCGCCTTAAAATGAGGTTTTCTTTCTATAATAACAATGCAATTTTGTTTACAACGTGCAGGTCAAAGTGATGAAATGTTGTGATATCGGCACCACCGGCAACCGGGCCTGTTTGCAGCTTGAAAACTCTTTTTTTTTTTTTTTCTTCAGTTTTTCTGTAACAGCACAGCAACAACCACACAACCCCTCTCCCCCCGACTCCCCCCAACCAAGGCCAGGCGATGTCGCGCGACAACTCCAAGCAAACAAAAGTAAAAGACATGTATTGATTTTGTCCGTACAGAACTCGCCGGTAATCCCAAAGTGCTTTGGGGAGCTCCCGTCCGTTCGGACGGGTTAATGGCGCCTGTCCAAGAACATGTGCGCTAATCGGAACTGAACCGGTGAAAAAGCGGCGCAAAAAAATGTTTTGGTGTCAGGATGCGCTCTGTCAAAGGTTCAACGGGCTGAAAGAAAAACTCGTGCAAGCGCCGATTCAAAAGTCCTGAGGGACAGGAAGGGGGGGCACGGACGGGCCGCTTCAAATATTTTTTTCAGCATCCGTCGCAGGCCGCTAAAACGCGCCACCG